ACAATTTTCCAAGTTTTGTACCCCAATAAAATATTAGGCCCCCTGAGAATTGGGTTCTAGGTCTGCTCTTGATGATGGAATGATGATTTGTGACCAGTTATTTGAAGGTGATCGCATTTCTTGATTCAGGTTGCACTAGTGGAGATTCAACTTGATGAAAAAATTCCAGATGGCCTGATGATTGCATTCAGTGTCTGTACAACCATGCTTGTCGTCGTGCACATGTTCGCCCTGCTGATCAGCACCTGCATCCTCCCGAACATCGAGGCGGTCAGCAATGTCCACAATGTCAATGCAGTGCATGAGTCGCCACACGACTCCCTGCACTGCTACATCGAGATGGCCTGGGGCTTTTCCACCATCCTGGGCATTATCTTCTTCCTGCTTGACATCATCCTGCTCTGCTGGGTCAAGTTCCACAACTACAACAACGCGGCCGTGGCATCCACCGCCATTGCCGTGCCCGTGCTTGTCATCCTGTGCGTCTTTGCCGTGCACTTCTATCGTCGCTTGGTGGCGCACAAGTACGAACGCTCCACCAGGGGTCTGCAGGAGTTGGAGAGCATGGCCACTGAATTGGACAATGGGGGGAAGTGCGCAGCGGCGGCAGCTGTTGGCGATGAATCACGTGTCGTACAGAATGTATGAGGGCACTGAAAAATCACAGCAGTTCTCATTCTGATTTTAGTCTTGTCTGCTGCTTGTGTATGTGTAGTTAGAATTCATTTATTTATTGCAGAAAAAGCAGAACAAAGCAAGTGAAATGGCATGTTTTGATCATTACGATGTTTAATTATCAGTCGCATGAAGAGTGCACTCTTTATCACGTTTGAGTTAAAATTTCTAATAGTCATTTTCAGGAAAAAACTTGGGGGAAAAGTTATTGTTTTATTCAGTGCTTGTCAGTTTCACATGTTTGCAGTGACTACCACTTGTCCAACACTTCACTGATATCCTAGAGGAAATGGTCATCAAAGGATAGTGTGAAGTATTGGTGCTTCACCCGATTGGTGAAAGTCAGGCATTGGCCAAAAGTTGTAGTTGTGGTAGGCAACAACGTGTACCTGTGGAAGCGAGTGGCTGTGGCCACTTCCCATAAACATGTGCGTTACGCCTTGCCACAGCCAGTTGATTCAGACACGGCTAAACACAGACACTGCCTGATACCCATGATATCCATTGACCTTGGTGGTACTATTACAGGTGTGTTACTCAACATGCACACAACACAGATACACTTTTTGATGTTTGGCAGCATTTGCTGTTTATTTTTATTTCTCTGTCTGAAGTTCTAATGAGGTGCATGAATTGCAGTAGTTTTACTGGTTGTTGTATTCTATGCATGTTTAACACAACAAAGCTTGTAATTGGCACAGTTCATGGACCAAAGTGTTCTTACATTCCTTGATACCTTCTTGTACTTTGTTTTTCACTTTAGTCTCTTGAAACGATCAGACTAATGGATTTTCCAGAATGTTATAATTGCACCGTTTTCACCCTCTAAATCTGTGTATGCTTTCATTTAGTAAAGGGGTGGAATTCTGGGCAGTTTTTTTGAAGTTCGTCAACATGTAGAATGCCACAACCCTGTTGAACTTTCATTTGGTACAGAGGGTAACACTATTGATGTTGAATCTTTTCTAACCATTCACCTTATTTGCAGGGAACAAAGTGTTAATGCCACTACATGTGAAAGCTCATCTGACCTTTCTAATATGTTTAATTAGGGGCGAAAGGTGTGCGGCCTTTTTATCAGAGTTTGAAATTAGACACATAAGTGCTTAGGTAGTGTCGCCCTTTGCTTTGCCACATTAAGATCACATTACCAGTCTACTTGAAGAGTACCAAGTTCTTTACTACTAATGCATGTTACTGAATGTGGTGTGTCACTGTTGTAGCAACTGTTTACCAGTGTTTGGAAATGGTGCTGGTCACTGATACAATTGTTACTTTGCTTTTGCAACTTCTTTTTAAAAGAAATTTGTAAATTATGGACAGATTTATGGTGTTTGACTTTACTTTCACCTTCCGTGTATTTCTTTACAAAATTATGCAAACTTTGCATATTTTTGCCCAAAGTAGATCCACTTAGTCTTGTGCTATCTTAGCCTTCAATCTATAAGAGCGAGCGTCGCTGAATGGGATAGAGCCGTCATTTCTTTTCCATTCCACCTGACAAGGATTGATTCAATTTGATTTGAAACAGAAAAGTTTTCTTTAAAAATATATTCTTCATGTGGCTATTTTTATATTATGTAATAGATAACTAGTGAATGGTTCTTTTCAATTTTCATTCCCTTATTCAATAGTTTTCCATTTTTATGAGCTGCTTTATTCTGTTTTACTGCAATTCAAATGTCCAACACAGCAGTGGAGTTATGCATGTACCTTGAAATGATGACTTGATGGTCTTACTGATTTCAGCTAAGTAATGCACTTGGAGCTGTTTCACTCTAATTTGAAAAAACATTCGTTAGATTTTGATTCATGCTTCACAGTGAAAGGGGAACTTGCCTAAACTAGCACTTGTATCACTTACAAAATGCACATTTTCAAATAGTTACTTATAAACTGGATCAGGGTATCATGTGCCCTTAAAACACAGGCACCTATTAGTCCAGGCCAGCACAGTTAGATCAGTTAAAGTTTGAAGTTTTATTAATTATATTGAATTTTATTCGGTTTTTACATTGTGTGCTTACATAGGTTATTTCGGTGCCAATTTTTTTCCCCATGGATTGAGAAAAGTAGTTTTTGACAAGTTATTGAAAGGACATCAGTGGAGCTGGGATTGCAAGATGGAGGAAGATCTCTGGCCCAAAGTGGGGATGCTAGTGCATACTTACGTAATTAATTTCCACTATATCCCTTACATAAATTGCTACTAGACATTTAAACAGTACTGTGCCTTAAGGAATCAATGGTGTTCTTGTAGACTGACGTCATCAATATTTTATAAAGGGTTATCTGTCTTTTGTTTTCAGTTTACACAATATATTATGAATTTGTTCTACTGGTTACATGTGAAGGACGATTAATTGCTTAATCAGTGTTATAAATAGACAAAAATGAAAAAGAACTGAAATGAAATGAATAAATTAGAAGGAAAAAAACAGTCGTACGTACACCATTTGTTTTGTTTGTACAGTTAAGTTGCCAACTTCTGTAGTTGATGGGATATAACATTGTTCCGGACCCATTGACCTTTGGTGATATTTGAGGCACTCACACTAGTTGAGCTTTTTTTAGTTCGTCGGCTGACTTTTTTCGCGCATTTTTGGACGTCTCTTTCCCTCATCTTTTTACCCTGGGAGTCTCATTTTCGGCGAAATTGAAATAGTGTACGCTTGGCACGGGCTTGAATCCCGGGGGTGGGAGTATATATGCCCAACTTTTTTTGGGGGGGGTGGGTGGGTGGGCCATTGAATCATCCCCCACTTTTTGGTGGTGAGAAAAAGATTCAAGGAGATTGTGAAGAATTTTTCAGACTTCTCCGCAACTAAAATGCATTCAATATCACTCGAGAAAAGGAAAACAATTTTTGAAAGCCATAAATATGCCATTCTGATGTGAGATTCTGCGTGAATGCAATACACATTACAGATGTACATCAATATCAGGAACATCGACCTCTATACATGTATAGAGTAATATGGTGTCACCCCCACCCCGCTTTTCAAATTTTCATGGCCGGGGTCATCCCCCTCCCCACAAATTTCCCCATCCTCCAATTTCCGGCAGAAATTTTTACGCCACTGACGCTTGGTTCTCAGGTATTTCGTCAACCATGCACAAGAATTATAAATTCGTTCCCAGACTAAACAGATCCCACGGTGTGTACCACCAGTCACCACAATAAAACCAAAATTTCGAGGACAGGAAAAAACCTTAAAATATCCCGTACTGATAGATCATTTTCCTACCTCCATGGATAGATCAATGATCAGATGGGGTGAGAGGGCTGTATACGAAAAATGGGGCTCATAGGAAACGTTTTTGCGAGTTCTCCACTTTTGGGTGAGCCGTCGTGGGCCAAGGATACGTAGGTAGTCCAGTAGACTGGTCCCAGTTTGGGGATAGAAAAAATATATCTCGAAAAATCACATTTTGGAAAAACCGTATCTCGTAAAAAAAAATTGAAAATATACACTCAGTCACTTTTTCAAAAAATATACTTGATGGCATTCCGGGGCTTTCGTATAGAGCCATTCTGTACACGTTGCGCCAGTTTGGAAACTGCAATGGTTTACAGACAGTTAGAACGCTTGCCATATTCTTCCGGTCGGGAGCACCATTTCAGAGCTACACCATCCTGAGTATCGAGTTATAGAACATTTGCTTACAACATTTAATGTTAGATGAGACTTGAGGCTATACACGGTGGAAGTATTATCTATAGACAATTTTGCGGTGACACCATGTGGATATATTTCTCTTTTGTGAGTGTGTGTGGTTCGACGTTTCGGACAGTGTTCTCTGTCCGTTTTCAGGAGAAAGAGTGCCGAACTCTTGCGTGTGTGGCTTAAGTTAAGTAGTGGTTGGGAGGATTGAGTGTAGTGAGAACTCGTTGAGGCGGAACAGCTTAACCGGTGCTTGGATCCTGATCCTGTGGGTTGCTGTTGGTGGGCTCGGTAATGGGTGTCACTGTTGACGTGGGTGTCGTGGGGAGAGGATTGTAGACCGTGGGTATAGAGGACCCATTGGTCTGGTCGGGTAGTAGGGGGCGCCAGACGTTGCTTATGTTGTGTCTGCATATCGGATGGCTTCTCTGATGCGTCTTGGGTGCCATCTGTTGACAGGAACGATGTGTTCTGCTGCTTTTCAGTCGATGATGTGGTCTTCAGCATGTGAGTGCTTCACTATGGCCGATTTGTCATAGTCTCCTCTGCGGCCGTGGGCAATGTGCTCTTTGGGTCTGGTAGAGACTCTTCCAGTCTCGCCGAAGTACACCTTCCCACATTCGCAGGGGATCATATACACACCAGCTTTGGTCTTGTGGTCTTGCTTGTCCTTGTGGGTCTGCAGGCTGGCTTGGATTTTCTTGATCATTGAGTGATACACCTTGATGCTTGCTTGACTGAGGATCCGTTGGATTTTGTGTGACGTACTTCCTATGAATGGGAGGTTGACTATGTCCCTATAGTTGGGGGGTTGACTTTGGGTATAGGAGACCCGACAGTCGGGGTGTTTTTGAGTCTTGACTTGGTACGTGCCGATGAGATTCGATGAGCTGGAGTGTCGTTGAGATGTGCTGGAGTTCATCTTGTAAGTGTTCTTGATCGCAGATCTTGTGTGCTCGTTGGATCAGGGTGCAGATGACTGAAGCTTTTACTCTGGGATGATGGAAAGACGAATTGTGCAGGTACCGGTCTGTGTGGGTGGGCTTACGGTAGACAGAGTACCCGAGGGAACCATCTGCACGCCGGTGGACCTTGACGTCAAGGAAGGAAGGAGATAGAATTCCCCTCCTCCTGTTCCATCGTGAACTTTATGCTGGGGTGTTGGTCGTTCAAATGGTCCAGGAATGACTGGAGGTGTTGGGGTCCATGCGGCCAGATGATGAAGGTATCGTCTACGTAGCGAAGCCAGGTACCCGGACGATGATCTGCAGAGACTGGTAGTTCCGCTGTCTCGAATTCCTCCATGAACAGGTCGGCTAGGACCGGGGATAAAGGAGATCCCATGGAGGTCCTTGGAGTCGACTGCTCGAAGAACTTGTCTGTCCATCTGAGGCTGGACGACGAGACGCAAGTTAGCAGCAGGTCGTGGATTTGGTCGGGAGAGAGGGGTGTGCGCTCACACAGAGTGAGATCATTTTCGAGAAGCAAACGAGGAAGTCAGAAGGGAAACCTGCCAGGGATCCTGATGTTGGGCGTTTACGGACGGGCGAGCAACACATTGTCAACCCGCACCCATTTCGGTTCACCTTGCTCAACCCGGATGCCTGTGCGAGTAGAAGCGACGCTAACGGGAACCTTTTCTGTGTTCTGCTAGTCAAGTGCTCTCCCTCCGAGGTCCTGGATCGGAGCCAGTTCCGGCAGATCTGGCGTCACCGAGGTCCTCGGAAGACGTATTCTTACGATGTTCCTCATTGGCCAGGAGCCGGGGTACTCCCAGGAACAGTTGGAGAAGGAGAATGGGAAGTTCCTCGAAGTGATCCAGGAGGAATTTCGGGAATGACTACCACAACCTGACGTACAAGAACTTAATGGGTCTGAAGTGGGTTACCATATACTGTAACCATACAAGTTACGTGCTTAGCGTAGACGCCGACATGATGCTTAACATTGTTACCCTTGTCCGTCGTTTGATCGACATGCCCCGGATGGGCTTTTCGGAAGGGCATCTTCGCAAGGAGGTCCTCCGCCGGCCAGGAACACCGTTCCGAGTGGTACATCCCTCCAAAGGATTATCCCGGGCCGACCTACCAGCCGTTCATGAACGGGTGTTGCTACGCATTGTCGCGGAATGTGGCCGTGCTCATCTTCAAAGTTTTCCCCTTCATACCGTTCATTCGGCTGGACGACGTCTTTGTGGGTTTCGCCATGCAGCGGGGCGTGATCGTGCCCCGATATCCACCGCTGTACGAGCAGGAGACGCAGAACTACACCCAGGCTCTCATGGATGGAATTGGAGTCGAAATCCCCCACAACAGGAAAACACTGAACGAAAAATTGCTACAAGTTTGGCATGATGTCGTTGGATCAAAGTTTAAAGAGACAGTATGCAACTTACTGACACCTCCTTGAAGATGTCGCTTAGGCCCTAATTTAATAAACCGAAACCGTGACTCTCTTGCAAAAGACATGCATGTTATTGTTTGACACCACTGATGCCTTATGCAACGAAAGGCATCGCATCTCTATAGACCTTTTTCTTATGATGTCACAATCGAGCTGGCCTCTATGTGTTGTGATAGCAATGAGTGTCTAGTGCTGTGATGATAATCTATACTTATTCACGATAAACTAGTCAACCATGCAGTGTTTCCACGTGCGCTTGCACGTGGTTGAAGCTGCCCGTAGGAATATATGCGATCACCGAGGCCACGGCGGTCTATTGTGGTGATATCGTTTACATTTAGCGCAATCCAGTCACGTGGTGAAAAAAGTCTGTTGTCGGCACTCCTCGTTCAAAATTCAAAACTTACACAATTCCTAATTTAAATTAAA